CAATGAAAACAAAATCTGAATACAAAACCTCTACTAATGCAAATATCCAGCTTGGCTTCCATTCAAGTATCTTCCAGGAAACAATATGCCATTAGGTTGTGGAGGGGTATGTATAGAAATGCCTATAATGAGCCTCAAGTTAACTTGCTCTAATTATGCTGTAGTTTCCATTATATTAAACTGTCGACAAGAGTCTACTACAAATGTCCATTTATCAAGCCAAGATAAGTTCCATATGCAATGATAGACAATGGGACCTTTCCATGCCTTCATGTCCTCACAAAAGAAAGAAAAGCTGTATTTAAGGCTTGTCTTCACCACCTGAGAGGGTCTAAATAGATGGCAGGCCACTTTCTGGTCAACACTGGTAGTCCAGTTCCCCAAAAACAGGGTGGGCAATAATTTTTCACCAAAAGCCACTTCAGAAATTTTTGAAGTGATTGGTCTGGGGATGGAGGAGTGCCTCCCCTCCCCACCTGAGGTTCCCCCTGGTGGTGGGAACAGACTTTGCGCGCTCCCTGTTCTGGCCCCAGGCCAATCAGGGCTTCTAAGAGCTATGCACACCTTGCAGAGCGGGGGCAGGGCGGAGGTAACTCTGCATGCTCCCCTTGCCCCCAGGCCAATCAGGGCTTGGAGGAGCGGAGGAATGAGTGAAGTCTTCTCCCACCCTTCTAAGCACTGCGCACTCCTGGCAGGGCAGAGGAAACTTTGTGCACTTCTTCCCCTCCCCCAGGTCCTAATTGGCCTGGGAGCAAGGGAGTGGCAGGGCCCATGGAGGCCCTTTTGCCCACCTCTGCCCAAGAAGCATAAAGGAAGTTGACCAGAGAGCATATGCCATTGATTCAGCACTGGGAATACAATGGGTAAGTTGACCTCAGTATGTTGACTCCAGATATGTTATGATGTAGCTGGAATAGCATAACTTACGTTGAATTATCCCTGTTGTGAATACAAGCCTTTTAAATGTTGGAAACATTATGGTCAAATGAAATGGGAGTTGTTTCAGGTATAAGAAAATAGCTTTTTGTCTCCCAATTTATATGGCCTAGCAGATGGAGGACTGGACTGGAGCTCAGGAGATGACTCCATTCCCTGTTCTGCCACTGGCCTGCTGGGTGACTGTGGCTAAGTCACTTCCCCATTTGTGCCAGAGTCTACCCATCTGTAAAATGAAGACAATGACACTGAGGGTGTGTCTAGACTACAGGGTTTTGTCGACAAAAGTGGACTTTTGTCGACAAAACTATACCTGTGTCAACACTGCAACTGAGTTCTGTTGACATAACATTGATAGAACTCAGCAGTTTTGTCAATGGCTGTAAATCTCATTCTATGAGGAATAACGGCTTTTGTCAACAGAGTTCTGTCCACAGAAGGCGTTATTGCATCTACACTGTCCTTGGCGTCTACACTGTCATGTCGACAAAGCGGCTTGCTTTGTCGACAGAACTGGATGCAGTCTAGATGCTCTGTCGACAAAGTCTGTAGTCTAGACGTACCCTGACTGCCTTACAAAAGCACTTTGAGATCAAGTGTTAAAAATTACTTTACAGCAAGACAAATATGTAGCTCTTCTAGTGAAATTTTGCTAACAAAGATATTTCAACAAAAAACCAAAGCGAGACATACTTTGGAAATGCTCTTTCCAGTGTTGCAGATTCTCCCAGAATTGGATGCTTAAAGTTCCAGCTTCTGGAGCCAACTGATTACAGAAGAATTTGAAGTCTTTATTTAAAAATAAATTTCTAACCTTCATTGTGGCAGACAGGAACTTAAAAATATGCCCCAACTATATCCTCAAATAAAAATAAAAAGAACCCATTTTTAAATTTAAATCTCAGAGGAATTAAACCAGGCTATGATTTTTGAATGTGTGGGACTGACAACCCTGCAATTCCTGTTGCAGAAACAGATGGACAATAGTAAAATAATGACAACCTAATGGAGAAACAGGGATTCTGTTGACTGCTACTGAGTGTGAGTGGCAGAATTCTAAGCCCCACTTAATTGCCACAACTCCATGAATTGGCTCAAATTCAGACTGGAAATAAGGTGCATTTTTTTTTTTTAAACAGTGAGTAATTCACCAATGGAGCCCTTTACTGTAGGTTGTGCTGGATTCTCTGAATGAATTCCTATTTGAACTAGAACATGACACTTAGCATAACATCCATTCTTGATTTTAAAATTGCTTATGATAGAGAAGTCATGGGATCAGTATCCAGGAGTGAGAGAGACTCCCTTACACCCCTGCCTCAGTGAAAGGAGGCTTGTTCTTACTTAAATGGATGTCTGTTCCCTGGCACCACCAGTCTGTTAGACACTCAAACAATCTCTTGAGAACTCTTTCAGCTCTTACTTTGTCTTGTAAGATTAACAAGGGCACCCCAATCCTCTTAAGTGTTTCCCTGTAGAGTTTAGCCCCTCTCATTGGGGACAGGCAGAAATTCCCCAGAGGAGCAGTGCTCACACCAGCTTGTTTGTTTGAACTAATTATCGGCTGCAATATACCATCACAGCACCGAGGTATACAGGCAGTCCCTGGGTTATGTCAATCTGATTTACGTCGGATCCCTAGTTACGAACGGGGAGGGGGGGGCGCAGCTAGTGCGGGGTGCCTCCCCCACTGTCGCCGCCTCCGGCGGCGGGGGGGCGCTTCCCCCCAGCAGACCAGGGAGACGCGGAGCGGCTTTTCTCGCCGCAGAGGACCGGGGTCTGCCCCCGAACCTTTAACAAGTCCACCTGACAAGCACCTATGGAGGGGGGGGATCCCAGCAGACTAGGAAGACGCGGAGCGGCTTTTCTCGCCACGGAGGACATGGGCGGTGGGACCGCTGAGACGCGTCGCAGTCCCGCGTCCTCCGTCCTCCGCAGCGAGAAAAGCCACTCCGCGTCTCCCTGGTCTGCTGGGGGGGCGGGGCTAGCTTTTTATGGAGAGTTTTGAAATTGTGGAGTTTTGTTCTGAATAGGAACAAAATGTTTTGAGAGCCCCTGTTGTTTAACCTTACTAAATAAATAAATACAATTAAAATCAATCAAAAGGTTGGCTAACAAATCTGAAACCTCCTCCAGTAAAATTGCTTTTTAGCAGAAAGCTGGTTCATCCACTTTTTCAAGTAATTCCTGTACGAGAGAGCACATACTTAGAAAAAATATAAATGAATAAAATAACCGCGTTTTCCTTGTGCTTTTACCTCAGTACCTAATATGCTGTCACAATCACAGAATCCATCCATAAGTATCTCTGTATGAAAACACACAAGAGAAATGGGCTTTCATTTTTGCATTAAAGTCATGTACCTAGTTAATATGATCCTATATAAGTTACTTTGCATCATCTCTTTACATTTGATGGATCCCTTTAAAAGAAACAGGTAAGAAAGGGAAAAAAAAACTACTGGCAATTTGACGCCTCTTTATACTTGGAGTTTGAAGGCGACAGTGGGAGAGGCACCCCGCACTAGCTGCTTCCCCCCAGCAGACCAGGGAGACGCGAAGCTAGCAGCCCCCCCCAGCAGACCAAGGAGACGTGGAGTGGCTTTTCTCAGCAGACACCTCATCTTGAGAATAAAGGACTGAGGGAAGTGAGGTGTGGGAGAATAAAACTGAGCTCTGGAGAAATGTTTGGCTAGAGCTTCCCCTATAATATGTACCAGTTCCGACTTGTACAAATTCAACTTAAGAACAAACCTACAGTCCCTATCTTGTACGTAACCCGGGGACTGCCTGTATATACTCCAGAATTCATTTTGTGGCTGGCTCAGGATGATCCCTGTGGTTCATTCCCTGGTGTGCTGGCTCCATGTTGTAAGTATAGTAAACTTGCGATAATCCGGCACCTTTAGGACCCAGGGGGTGCCAGATGATCAGATATGCCGGACTATCGGAAGGGGGGGGGGGGGA